AAAGAAAATAAGATTGAGAGGCACTTGTTCGGGATTTGTTCCATGAGGCAGGCCTGCCAAAGGATCAATTGCACTGTGCGTAGTGCATGTCCGAGCACGAAGACGCGGGAGCTGACCTTGGGGGGATGCGTTATTGCATCACGATGCTTCATAGAGCGATGCCTTTTGGCGCAGACGCGATTAAAGGACCAGTGGCCGCAGTCGCAGCAAACAGCGCTGGGAAAAAAGGTGGTCAAATTTTCGTTGGCATGTACAGGATGGCTTTCAATGTAGTGCGCCATCAGCGGATCGCCCTTGCGCATTGAGCACACACATCCTGGCGCAGGACAGTCAATCCAGTTCAGAGAAGGAAAGCACTCGGAAGGGCGGCGGAGATCGGGTGGAGTGGAATGGTGCGTTTGAACATGGCGTTGCTCATTGGAATCCGAGACAAGCATGTTGCAGATTGCACAAGACACCGGAGAAGGAGTCGCCATAATGGCTGCACGCAAAGAAAAGAAAGGCAAGGTGAGATGGTTCACGCATCAATAAATGGCAGCGCATGCGAGGAATGAGGAAGGGTGGGGACTCACCGTTGAGGAGAAGGAAAATGCAACGGAAATTGTAACGGAAGAACGAATCTCAACGGTCAAACCATAAGGGATGACACTTGGTACGTGACCGAAGTTGTCTCGATGAACAGGTGAAAAAGTGTCTCCGATCTCGAATGTCGTTACTACCAAATGACACTGTTGTAGTGGAGGAACAACACCCACACATACGTAGAAAGCATTTCCTTTTGTTCTTGGTAAGCGATCATGCCTCTTGCTCTGTGTGTGTGTGTGTGTGTGTGTGTGTGTGTGTGACGAGGACGTTCGGCTGCTCTTGTTGGCTCTGCCTGCTGCTCCGCCCTTGAGGAGGGGGGTGCCCAATCGCGGCTTGCCTTGGTCAATACCGTCCATGGATGTGATTTGATGCAACAGTCATGGCGTGGTGTGGTGCGGTTTGAGGATGGCTGATCCAGGTTCATGGGGTTGTTGGCTACTTTAGGTTTTCCGCTCTTGTTTCCGTGAAAAAAAAAACCATTCATCGCAATCATGGTGCGTATCGTGCCAAGAGCTCCAAGCTCGAAAACACCCTGCGCACAATGGCACTGCACTTGCCGACGACGGCGACGTTGCTCTTGATCATGCCCATGACCTGCACCAAACCTGTGATCAGGGGCCACATGGCTGTTCATTGCGCGCGCCCACTCATGTGAATCTGCTGCTTCTCTGGCACTGTCTCCGCTTCTTCTTCCCAAAAATCAACTTATACGTGTGACGCGCGGCTCATCTGGTCTCTACATCACCAGGCCTCAGGTGGCGAATTCAAAGTATGACTCGGCGTGCTCCGCTCTCGTTTCTGCTCGCCTTGCCGTTTCGCGTTCGCCTTTGCTTGCGTGATGAGGCGCCAGGTTTTCTGCTTTCAAAACAACGTACCTGCCCCTCTGACATCCGATGCTGTACGGTGGTCTGTCTGTACGCATGTTACAACTCTTAGGAGCACCTCTTCAAGGTCCTTGTCGTGGGTGAGATTGGCACGGGCAAGACCAGCATCATCAAGCGCTACGTGCACCAAATGTTCAGCAGCCACTACAAGGCCACCATTGGTGTGGACTTTGCGCTCAAAGGTAGGATGGAGGCTTGGTCATGATCCCGATGACTTGTTACCATGATAATGCACGTACAGTGCATGTGCCTGGCTTGGCCTTTGAATTATCTGATGGCTTCACCCCCCGTCTTATGGTAGTCTTGAACCTTGATGATGATACCATCGTGCGCCTTCAGCTGTGGGATATTGCCGGTATGAAAAGTGACTCGGTCCTTCGCCTTTTTGATGACACGGGGTTTCCAATTGCCAGGAGCACGGCACCTGGTCTCTTGATCCGACCAACCGAGATTCCACTCTGCCCTTTTTTGTCGCGGCGTGCTCACGCCTGTCCCGCTAATCTCAGGCCAGGAGCGATTCGGAAACATGACTCGCGTGTACTACAAGGAGGCTGTCGGTGCCTTTATCGTTTTCGATGTCACACGCGTCTCCACCTTTGAGGCCGTCCAAAAGTGGAAGTCGGACATTGACAACAAGGTCTTCCTGCCTGATGGCTCCAAGATCCCTGTGGTCCTGCTCGCCAACAAGTGCGACATGGCCAAGGAAGGTCTTGTCAAGAACGGCGCTGCCATGGACAAGTACTGCGAGGAGAAGGTCAGTGCCTACGCTCTGGTCTGCGCGGACAACCTTACATCTGTGCACATGTCCTGCCCAGTCTCCATGCTTGTCAAAACATTTGCTTTCGAATGTTGGCTCATTCTGTTCGGCCATTCGTGCCAGGGCTTTGCGGGTTGGTTCGAGACGTCGGCCAAGGAGAATGTCAACATTGATCTTGCTGCTCAGGAGCTGGTCAAGAAAATCCTCGAGCACGAGCCGGTACATTTTCTCCCCTTGCCATGTGCATTTGCCCTTGTATTTGTGGCTGTGCCCCTTTTCCTTGTGAAAGAATCACGCTTAGCTCCACTTTTCTCCCTTCTTATGCTTTTCCTCCGTCGGCCCCGCTTCTTTTCCTCCTTGTTTGAACCGGCTTTCTTCCTCTCACTTCCAAATCACCCCTGCTTGCTAGTCGGCACTGGAGAAGAACGACACGATTGACCTGGATGAAGACAAGCCCAAGTCGAGTGGTTGCTGCTAGATTTGATGCCAGAGTGTCGCCTAGTCCTCCTGTTGTGTGGGAGGGGTCTCTCCCGTGTTGCTCATCTTCTACCACCTTTGTTTTAGTTTAATGTCGTCTCTTGTTGATGTTTGCCCACGCCTCCGTGTGCCGCCGAGTTCCAGGTGCCTCTGGCGAACAACGGTTTGGCATTGTGGTACCGAACGGTGGTCGTGAGCTGCCGTTGATCTTGACACCCATCGCCTTTGTGGTCCTCGTGATGCGGTGTTATGTTGTCCTATGGTTTTGCGTGCTTCTCCCATCCTGCTCCGATATCGTCCATCGACCTTCGTGCATCGGCACTGTGGTATCAACGCCTCAGCGGCGTGTCTTTGTCTTTCTGTGACTGTATCTGTGCCCCTCGCCCGCATGGGCGTGCATGGCGCACTGCCAGCCAATCGATGATGATCTAAACTTTGCGACTTGAGGCATAGAGCATGGTTGTTGTTGTTTTTTGTTTTTTTTTTTCTTTGAAGCACAGTTGCCTCCAATACAGCCATGTGGTCCGGTCTGTCGCCGTGGGCTTGCAGACTGTGCTTCATGCCATGCCTGACGCGACTTTGAACGACAAGAGGAGCCCGACAAGAGTATTTTTTTTGCTGCTCTCATCACTATGAGAAAATGATTTACAGAATTCACGTGCCATTCCATTCCACCCCCTTTGTTTTTTTTTTTTTTTTTTTTTTTTTTGTTAATTTTCGTCTGTTGATGGGGATGCGCCCATGCCTGTCGGTAGCCTCCCATTCAACTCCAGGCATGCCGGACAATAACATGAGGTTTCGCTAGCCCATTCACAACCGCACGCCAAAAATCGAATCAGTTGGAGCGTTGCAGCATTAATATCAACACATTTTCACATTTTTAGGGATTTTGCCATGATATCGTTTTATCTGCACACAAGGTGGCAAAGGGATGGACGAGACGACTTTGCACATTTTACATTTTGTACATTTTCTGCATCACTACGTACGCGTGCCCGTGGTTAGCCGATCGAGCTTGTGATACCACATATGCGATAGCTAAAACAAATCTGCCCCTTGTTTTCAAGAACGTGCAGTGTGCGTAACAAGAACTGGGGGGCCTGCCTCTCCACAGAAGTGCCCATCGGCAAGGTGAGCGCAGAAGAAAACGTAATTCAGGATCGATTTCCTTTCATTCCTTTAACCGTGTCCATGGGTATTCGCATATGACACGCTGGCACAAGGAGACAAACACGTATGGACATATGCCAAAGTGGCAAGATCTGAACAACAGGCACGACAACTTGAGCATCGGTGCAACGCGCCAGATTTAACCCATCGCTCACTCGATAACTAAAAGGCATTCTTGCACCCTTTTGGCCCGGTGCACCGGACAGACACCCAAACACAATTGCAGACTCACAGAGCCAAGGCTAAGACTGTACCGGCAGGATTTGGTTGAACAGGACAAGGCAGGCTCGCAAAAGGGCGGCACCGTGCAATACTTAAATCATCTGCACCTTCACTACAGCGGACTTGTTAAAGGGAGGGGAGGCGGGACTGATGTCGCAAAGCACTTCAGGCAGGTGATCAACGTCGACGCTGGTTCGAATGGCCTCGCAGCGCACCCAAATGAGAGAGCCATCGAAGCGACGCATGCGCTCAACAGACACCATCTTGCGGCGATCACCAAACAAAAAGTCGAGGAGGTCAAGGCCGCTGACAATCTTATCATCACGGACCATAAAGTCCAGAGAACGGAGACCCAGGAGAAGCTGAGGGTTCGCAACCCCACACATGGCCGCCATGGCGTCGTCGGCGTACACAACACGTACGCCGCGAAAGAGGATTTTACCGCTCATGTGGGGAAAGCTATCGTACG